TTTTTTTTTTTTTTTTAATTGATAATAAATATGCACACTCTGTGTTCTGCATTGTATCTCTGTGTGGAGGCAGCCATCTTTGCAGTGGAGCAGGGCTTAGGTTCCTCATATCAGAGCTCCCCCTAAAGACCGGTGAACATAATGGTCAAGGTAGTACAGGACGTGGACCACGAACAGTTCCACAGAATGAATGAAGAAGCAGAAAGATGCTTGTCTGCAGGTTCCCGAGTACAGCTTTCTCTCCAGAAGAACCTTTTAGGAGAGCAGTAAGCAGCACAATAGTGGCATCACCACATTACGGGAGAGCAGTAGTCAGCAGCTGCTTATACTGTAGGCACTGGTTTGCCTAGGCACACTCACATGCCACGAAGCGGATATTTGTAGGGAGGAATTCAAGATAAAAGGTAGATTGTTCCTGGTGAAGCAGTGTTTTACTCTTCAAACCCTATGTTCCTTGCTGATGCAATTTCTGGATGTAGGAGACCGATAATCCAGCGCTTCAGATGTTGCTGTGCCCATCACTGACATTCCCCTTGCGCAGGTCCCTGACACTGCTCAACCAGTAGAAAGTGTTTGCGTCACTGCCTGCATGACATGGACACTTCCTATTGGCTGTCCAGTCACCGACATCCCCCTTGCATTAATATCATTGCTGAGATTATTTTTCTGGATCCTGAGAGGTCTCTGCCACGGAACAGCCAATAGGAAGTGTCCACGTCACACAAGTAGTAACAGGGACACCCCGAGGACCCCGCCTTCTATATACCGAAGAAAAGGCAAGACTGGGGCTGGAGCAGATTTAAGTGAGTAAAAAGGGCATTTAGCTAGGTTTAAAAAAAAAAAGATATTGGCAGCAATAAGAGAAGGTGGAGGTATGTTAGACGGCAGCAGATTTCAGAGAGGCCTAAAACATAGCAACTCTTAACATTTTTAAGTTTATGTCCAGTTTAAAGTGATCATAGGTATGATATGACAGTCACTGGATCCAGCTATTTTTGGCTGGATTGCGTAACAAACTATGCTTACGGATTGATCAGACTTGTTTGCCAGCTGCATTTGGGGGAAAGGTTCATGAGCTATTACTCCTTCTTTCCATAATATAAGCATAACATGATGGTGAGTAGGGTTTAATTTTACAGGGTTCAGACTGTATAAGGTGCACATTTTTTACTTCATAATGTGCTGTTTATGGATTTAATTTACATGAAGTGCCATTGCTATGGAACGGGTTTAATAAATTCATAGCAGCGTATCCTGCATGTCACTGTCTAAACACTTTTACAACTGCAAATAGGTGAGATCAGTGTATGTGTTAAAGGTGCTCACATGATCCATTTAAAAAGATTTGGAAACACAGAGTTATAGATTTGTACATCATATTGCTTTTCACATACTTATTTCAGGTTTCTCCAGAAGACGCTCAGAAGCATTGGGAACGTCAGTATATATTCTCTTTGAGCAACTGCAGTCACACAGTTTGGTAAGACATCTCCATGTCTTTTTATCTCTGAAAGTCTTTCTCTGTTTTAATACTTTATCAAATTGTAAAAAGTCCGGCCAGAGGAAACCAAGGTCACTCTAATCGGACAGCAGAAAGGGATTGAAGAAGCATGTGGCTCTGTGCAAGCAAGAGCAACAGTGGGGAGATGCTGTCTTAATGCTGTATGGTGGGAAAGAGCGCACATGACACTCCACCCAGATGACGCCAGCACTCCAACTTCCCACAGCATTAACGTATTCCATGGCAAAAATGGCAGGAATGTGCAATAAAGGCACCCAGTAAACTAAGTAATTGAAGTAGCTCCCAGTGCTCTGCCCCACTTGCCTACTTTCAAATAAGTCTTCGGAGACAGGGCAAGTACTGAGGCAATGCCAGTTACTCTGAACTTGAATGTGCTCTGCAGCTAATTTTTTACCAGAACAGTTTGGCAATACCCTACTTGGAGCCCAGTGCCCTAAGGTCACTTCCAGGCTATCCCCACAATGTTCAGTCCAGCAGGGTCCAGATGCAGTACTCCAAAAACCAGGCTGAGGACAATGGCACTGGATAGCTGCAATCAAAGAGACCAAGCTCATGCAGTGATGTAGAGAAGAGTCTTGATTGAAGAATTGAAAAAAATCAAAGAAAAAAGGGTGCTAGCAAGAAAAAAAAAAAAAAAAGTTTGTTTTGAACACAAAAGAGCTGTAGAAAAAACGCCAAACCTCCTAGAATACCAGCAAAAACACTAGGAATGCTGGTTGTGGGAGAGGGATTTCCTGGGCTAGCCTACAGGTTTTTTTTCTTGCTTGTAGGCAGCAGTACACCCTAAAGGTTAAAGACTTCTTTTGTCCCTCAATGGGCAAGAAAGAAATTACATTACAAACAGATATCAACCAAGAGGATTTTCATGTATAACAATCGTATTCCAAATGTTAAAAGCTGCAGACAATTCTGGGCAATACCCAATGCTATAACAATCCTTATCTGTTCAACAAGGTCCATGAGAAAAGTGGTGTATGTGTACACTTTGGTGTTTTTTTTTCCAATAAAATGTTATTACATTTCTCCAGCAATTATCAAAAAACTACAAAACCACAATGATCATCTACTGTTCAAGGTAAGCAGCTTAGTTTAAGCAACAATAGAGACACAAATGTCGCATGCTATCCAAAAGTATAAACCTCAAAAAAAAAATGTGTAAGTTCTCTAATAAAACAAAACAGTCGCTATTCGTAACAAACATCAGTGCTCCTCGGAATCAACCAAAAACAATCACATAAAGGTCATCTCAGTCTGAGTCCAGGTGCAAAACCCCCAAGGCTTTCGACATTTCCTCTCCTAAATACCAGTTAGTATATCGAAAGGGTTTCATGAGCTGCTTGACCTCCAAAGCAGTTAGAGATTTACCTATAAAATATCTACACCTACAAAAGAAAAATTGTCCATAACGATTTCAGATCACTGACGATTTCCTGAAGCTGAGAAGCTTTGGGAGCGTTCCAATGTTGCATGATACATCTGGCAATAAGCAAGCAGATATAAAGCCATTCCAGACCTTTGTAGTTGGGGATACCGCCCGATCTCTTGGAGGTGTTGCCATGAAATAATTGAGTCTACATATGAGAGAACCCACCGCCAGAAGTCTGGTATCGGGGGGGGCAGGACCACAGACAATGGCACAAGGTAGGTTGTTGATGGCCACATTTAGGACAAATGGAAGAGGCTTGATGAGTGGAATGGGAGGGCTTAACCTAAGGAACATACGCCCTGTGCAGAACTTTACATTGAGTCTCCCTCCAGGTCTCAGCCGTGATTACCGATCTTTCTTTTGTATATCCAGTGAGAAGTTTATCGAGTAACGTTGGATTGTTAAAGTCTTTCACCCATTCCTTAACATTGGATGAGGCGAGAGGTGTAAGGAATAGAAGCTTGGGATAAATCTCCGATATGGATTAGGATCCTGACTCAAGGAGGGCCTCCAGGAACGAAGAAGTGAAGCGTACTTTAGGTGTTCCCATAAATGTTTTCCAAGTATTCCTTATTTGTAGGTAGTGCGGAAAGTCGTGAGGCTAGATGTGGTAATGTTGTACCAGTTCCTGGAAGGAGTAAGGTGTGAAAGAGTGTGGTTGAAACAACTGATGCCATTGTTCGAGACCTTTCTCCTTCCATTTATGAAATGCTGTGTAATCCAGGCCCTGAGAAAACATAGGATGACCTAGAATATAGGGCTGCAACAACTAATCGTCTAAGTCGATTATAATCTATGATTGAAAAAGTCAACGTTTTCAATCATCGATTAATTGGCGTTCGATTAGTTGGCCCTGTTCATGGCTCCACACACTGCACCTCCTTCCCGCCTCACGCTCGCCACTGCCAGACCCGCCTGCCCGCATCCAAGCTCCACACGCCGCACCTCCCTGTCTCACGCTCACCGCTGCCCGCATCCACACGCCTCCCCGCCTCACGCTCCCCGCCCGCTCACATCCACGATCGGCATAGGGACGTGGGGAGAAGAAGAAGTAAGGAGAAGCAGGTGTGGGGGGATGACAGCCGCCGACAGGCCCGATCTCAGGTACAAACTAGTAGTCCATCACTGGAGCCATTTAAAAAAAAATCTCGATTAATCGAACTTATCGGCTAACTGATTTTGAAAAAAATCGTTAGCTGCAGCTCTACTAGAATCGGACACATGGAGGACATATATGGGGAAAGATCGAGGGCTTTCCGCGTATTCCCTCCAAGCAATGACTGTATCCTTGAACAAAGAGTTATGCCCTGGGGTAATGAGGAAATTTTACACTGTAGAATTGCTTTAAGATTCCATGGAGCAGCCATCTCCGCTTCCAGGGAGGTATTGGAGTACCTGGAACTATCCGAAAGCCAGTCTAGTGCGTGCTGAAGCAAGCACTATTGTATAATTTAATATTTTGGAGATTAGTCCCCCCTTCGCTCTTTGGAAGCCATAACTTTGTGATTGAAATTCTCAGTCGTTTAGACTGCCAAATGAAAAGTCATCATTTCTTTTGTGAATCGGTCAATATCCCTGGTTTCCAAAAGCAAGGGAAGTGTTTGTAGTGGGTACAGCAGTTTGGCAAGTTAGATGGATTCTTCCAAAGAGCAACAGAGGAAGATCCCGCCATAGTTTCTATCCAGTAAGGGGAGGTAATTAAGGTGGCATAGGGAAGAAGTTGATTTACCCACCCTAATCCCCAGAGTTATGTCTCGCTGTGTCATCTCTGTAAGAGGCAGTATATCACTTTTCAAAAAATTTATTTGAAGACCCGAAAAGGTCCCATAATGGGCAAACATTTCCTGGATGGTAAAGACCTCTGCTTCGGGACGTGAAGTAAATAGGAGGATATCATCTGCAGATAATGCCAGTCGCAATTCGTCATTACCTACTTTGATACCATGTAAGACCAGAGAATTTAGAATATGGGACACCAGGGGCTCCAGGGACAAATTTATAACCGTGGGGACAGTGGACAACCCTGCCTCGTTACCTTTTCCAAAACAAATGGCATGGAGAGTGCCGTTTGCGTATGTATCCTGGCAACTGGGGAGGCATACATTTGTTGAATATCTTTACAATTTTAAAGCCAATCGGTCACTAAAGTAAAAAAAATAAAGTCCCTAATAGTTTCCTGTAAAGAAAATAGTGTATACTTACCTCCCCTGCTGTCTGCACTACCAATAGCCACTCTATTAAAGGGAAATCTTCCCCCAAAGTCGTCTTCAGAAACCAATACTTTAACCAGTGTTGATCTTTTGGTCCCATATTGTTCCACCCACCAGCTCTAAGTCAGTACTGAGTCCTGTAGTGAAATGGAGGTCTGTGGGAGATTTAATTCTCCTTGGGGGGGGTGTTGTAGTCATTCTCCCTAAGGCCCTGGTTCTCTTAGCTCTTTGCCTGTCTAGAGGGGAGTTTTCAGACACTATTGCTGACTTTATTGGAAGAGATCGCAGACCACAGGGGTCCCAAGTGGCCTCCCATCCAGAATCTGTCTCTGACTGGCCCCTCACAGTTGCCATGCCCCCTGAAGAGGAGGATGATACCGATTTTTCTTCTGGGAATTCAGATAAAAAGCGTTTCTGCTGAGATCTCTCCAACACGTAAGGATACCATTGGATTTCTTTTTGACACAGTACTCGCATACCTGAAAGTGTATTTCCACTTTTGCAGTCAGATTTGCGAAAACCCCTCTATACGTTTGTGTTCCTGTTCACACAGCATACTGAACAGGAACACAAACATATAGAGTACCATACACCCGGTTTCACTCCAGGCCATCGCAACTCAACATTCTGCTTGTGTGGAACAAAAACAGTCTCCGGATCGCCCCATGTGCTTGACGAGCTTGGTGAGGCTCTCACTGACATGGTGGACTTCAGGTCTAGCGCTTGAGTCAGGCAAATTCTTCCTCAATGTTATGGAAGAGGTCTCATGACCCTGTTGGGTGAGGAAGGAGTCCTGGATACTTTCTCCGTTCAGGGGACTTCGTAGTTCTTCTGTGACAGAACAGTTTCAGAGTTTTTATGCCAACCTGTTCACTGTTGCGAAGCACAAAGGGGGCATTCATTTTGGACCTCATAGTTCTGAATGTCTTCAGTCCCAAAATTCTGCAGGAAATCTACCAAATCTGTCATCACTTCCCTTTACCAGGGAAAGTTCCTGGCTTCTGTGGACATCACAGATGCTTACTTACATGTCCCCATCTTTCCAGCACATCATAGTTTTAAAATGGGTCCTTCCAGTTCTGGTTTTTTTCCTCCATCGCCAGAGGAACTGAACGGACACAGACATGGCATCCGGACACATACAAAAGTGGCATCCATTCTGTAATGCTCCGATCAGGAGGGATCTGTGCCTGGATCCCCTGCTGATTGAAGCAGACAGGGCCTTTGTGAAACACATGTACACTTCTACACACATGTACACTATATTTACTTTTTTTTTTATTATGTAACATCAGTTGCATCATTTTCTTGCTCTTTTTTTATGGGTCTCTTTAGTATTTATTTCCATACCGTTCAGTGTCTCTTTTTTATTTTTTAACTTTCCTATCTAACTCCTTTTTTTCTGTTCAATGCAGGAATGGAAACTGCAAGCTGGTACAGCAGGGAAAAGAATGTATACAAGGGCTACGTCTTCGGCATTATTACATGTTGTGTGGTTCTCTGCTGCGTGTCTGGAGTCGGATGGCATCTGTCATTTCTGACATCACCAGCAGTAGCTACCTACAGATTGTACGCTTAAAAACCAAGGATAAGCATAAACAAGTTGGTGAGTAGTTGTCACTGGCATTAGTCCGTGTCCCAAAGCAAGTCATTTTTTTTTTTGAAAATTTTAAAGTTGCCATTATCCCAACAGTAAACTGCTCAGTGTTCTAGCATCAGAGCATGCTGTCATTTCTCACCGCCTCCTTCCGAAGAAGTTCGGGCCTGCGAAAAGATGGAGAGGGGCCCGGCATACCAGGAGATGACAGCACGCTAGATTATAATGGTCCGATTCCCATGGGGGCTAGCCCCGGTCTAACAATTAAGATCAGAGATCAACCTAAATACGTCCAGGGGTAGCTCAAAGCAGCACCATTTCAATGTGGTAGCGTCCTCAAGTTAAACCTGTCCAGTGACCCCATACCCTTTCAAACTTCTTCGGACATCCCCTACTAACATAGGTCGCCTTGTATAAGTGGATGGAGGCGTCTACTATACCCTTCCACTCCGCCAGTGAGGGGGGCTCAAGCAAGTCATTTTTTAAATATATTATGCATTTGGTATTGAGCAAGTGGTGGTATGCTTTGCTTACATATTGTTTTCTTCATCACACAGGTATTCAAATTCCAGAGCCTTGTGTATATAAAGTACGGGACGAGCTGAAACAAATGGATATGAATGTAAAGAGAAAACATGAGGAATCTAAACAGGCTGCTGAGCGTCTCTCAATGCCCCCCATGTTGTCTGGATCCCCTTTGGACCTTTCATTATCTTTTTTCCGTCCGCCCTCGCTCCCAGAACCTGATGTTTTGGACCTGACTTTCAGTCCTCTGACTTCCAATTTGCAGGAACAGAGTGGATATCATTTCGGTGACCCTCTTGGGAGCATCCTGTCCCCCAATGAAAGTCTCCAGAGCCAGCAGTTTAATGTCCGAGAAATCATAGAAGAAATGCTTCAAAAACTAAAAGCGCCAGATCAGTCTCCAGAGCGTCAGAGTGTCATTCAGTTTGGAGGAGAGAACGGCTTCTGGGGTACAGGCTGATGTGTGGGCCTTTTCTCCTGATAACAGACCAGCGGCTATGCCCCACAGCACTGCTGTAACACTCCAGAACCATTTGTGGAAGAAGCCATGATTGCCCATTTTGCTTGGATTTTAACCAACCGTGTTCATCAAACTATTTGCGCTATACCACAACAAGGAGAGGTGACATCTGAACTTTCAGAGTCCAAAACTAGCCGTGCACCATACCATCATATCAGAGGACCAAGTGTCACAGGGATGCTAGTCTCTGACAGCCCCCATCTACAGTACTTACTAACACATCCATTGCCCAGCCGCAGCCTGTACTTGTTTTTGTTTGGGGCCCAACTGCAGAAAGCAGACTGGGAACCCTGCACTGTTTGTTTCTGTTCTCAGTCCCTGGTCAACCTAGCATAGTTTTGGATTTCTGTTCAGTGTAAGTAGGTTCTTCTGTGTTCAGAGCTGACTCCTTACAGCGCTCAGCACTTTATTGTCTTCTCTGCAGAGCTTTACACACTGCTGGCTCAAAGAGCCACAAGCAATAGCATGTGTGAACAGTATAAAATATATA